TTTTTTTTTTTTTTTTTTTCACTAGCTGATGGACATTTGGGTTGTTTTCATTTTTCTTGGGAAAATACCTAGGGTTAGAAATTCTGGATCATATATTAAGTATATGTTTGGTTTTATGAGAACTTGAAAAATTGTTTCTCAAAATGTCATACCATTTTACATTCTTGCTAGTAATATGTGAGTTCTTTCAAAAAATTACTTTATTTAAAGTTATTCAGTTTAAAAGAATTAAAAGCATATTTATTCTTACATATGATATTCCTCATGATTTTAGGTCCTGGGTTTTATAATATCCTAAACAATACTATGATTGACAACATTAGCAATACCTACTTGAAGAAAAAAAAGAAAAATGCATTTGGTTCTTCTGTTCCTCGGACTCTCTTGCTGGTTCAGAAAGAAGCTTTTACTTCTCCTGGTCCTGCCGATTATCAGGTAATTTGTGAATGCCAAAATAATATTCTTTATATCTAATGCCAAGACTTAGGGTTTATAACAATTACATGTGACATATTTTCCCCATTATTTTAAGCCATACTATTATTATTGAAATCATTTTTATATGGTAACTTATGACATAAGAATAAACATTAATTCGGTTTGCAACTATGTTTGTAATTTCTTTTTTAAAAATGGATCATAGGGGCGCCTGGGTGGCGCAGTCGGTTAAGCGTCCGACTTCAGCCAGGTCACGATCTCGCGGTCCGTGAGTTCGAGCCCCGCGTCAGGCTCTGGGCTGATGGCTCAGAGCCTGGAGCCTGTTTCAAATTCTGTGTCTCCCTCTCTCTCTGCCCCTCCCCCGTTCATGCTCTGTCTCTCTCTGTCCCAAAAATAAATAAATGTTGAAAAAAAAAATTAAAAAAAAATGTATCATATTCTTTATTTCTTTATGGATGTCATATGTATTTGTTTAAATATTTATCTTCATTTTAAAATTGCTCCACTATTTTCGGAGAGTAATTTAAGTTTCCTTTACATGCTCTTTGTGGCTTTATGATTTTTGTGTACAAGTCTTACCCATCTTTATTAGATTTCTTCCTTTGTATTTAGTGTTTCATGTTTTTAAATTCTATTGTAAATGGTACCTTTTAAATATTTTCATTGTTTAGCTTTCTGTTATAGGTATAAAAAATATAATCTTTATTGAAGATTGCTTTACCAATGACCCATGTGGCTTGCTAAATTAAATGATTAATTCTACTAATTTATTATTAGTTTTGAAAAAAGTTTCCTCAAGCACATTATGCCACCTGTGAATGATAGTTTATATTTTTTCTCCAAGTGTTTCATCTTTTATATATATTTATTCCTTACTGGACATCTGTATCGCAAAACAAATCTCAAGGAAATTCATAGGAATTAAAAAATATTCAGTATCCAAGAAAACAAAATTCACAGAGTGTGATATCCAATAAAAAAAATAGGTATGCAACTAAGCAGGAAAACATAACCTAGAATCAGGGAACAAACCAATAGTAAAAGACAAGAAATTACACAGATGGTAGAAATAGTAGACAAAGACATTAAACAGTTATTATAACTACATTTCACATTCAAAAGGTAGAAGAAAGATTGAGTAAATTGAGTAGAGAAATGGCACAAATAAAAAGACACAAATTGAAGTTCCAGAGATGGCAAGTATAATATTTTTAAAAAGTACACTCTCATTAACAACAGTATAGGAGGTTTAGAAGAAAAGATTAGTGAACCTGAAGACACTGATAGAAACTGTCTGAAATGAAACACAGTGAGAAAAAAGACAAAAGTAGTGAATAAAGTATCAGTAAACTATGAGACAATTTGAAGTGGCTTAATATTTGTGTAGTTAGAGTCCTTGAAGGAAGGGAAGGAGTATGAGGTCATATAATAATATTTTAAGGAATGATGACTGAAAATTTCCAAATTTTGATCGGAGCTTTATAAAAACTGACATATCCATGAAGCTCAACAAACTTGCAGCAAAAGACATTAAGGAAACTATGCAAAGGCATATTATCACCAAATTGACTAGAATGGTTAAAAAAATTCTTAAAAGCAGCCAGAGAAAAAGGATATATAGTATTGAGGGGCAAAGTTATCAATGGGAGCATATGTCTTGTGGGAAATGATGTAAGTCAGAAGACATAGTGCAACATTTTTAAGTATTAAAAGAAAACAGTTGTCAAACTATAATTCTATAGCAGGTTAAAACATCTTTCAAAAATTAAAACACTTGGAATATGTGAAATATATGAAATATGTGTGTGTGTGTGTGTGTGTGTGTGTGTGTGTGTGTGTGTGAATACATATATATGTATCTATACACAAGCTGAAATAGTCATCCTTCAAAGACCTGCAGTATAAGAAATGTTAAAGTCTTCCAGGCAGAGGAAAATATTACCAGATGGAAGATGGAATCTGGGTCTATATAAAGTAATACAGAGTATCAAAGATGATAACTATGTGAGTAAATATAAAAGGCTATTGTTGTATTTCTCATCTTACTGAAAGCAGACCATCTTACATGTTTTTGATTTACTGATAATTTACTTTCACATAAGGTAGAGGAAGCTATGGGAGGAACACATACTCTAGCTTAATTTTGACTAAATAAAGGAGAACTAATTGAATAGAATGGAAGAATCATTTCACAAATAGTGATCATATTATTGTACAGTTTAGAATTGTCAAACAAGAGATTCTGGACATTGTTAGGTATGTACAAGGAATTTAGATTATCCCTGTTTCAAAATGATCATCAGAAAACAAGAAATATTCTTAAGATCAGAGACTCTTAAGAGTAAAACTAGCCTGTAAGGATTGACCGGAAGAAAATCTCATGAGTAAAATTCTGACAATGCAGTTTTGATTCACATTAAAATTTTAAGAATACATTTTAAAAGGACATTTTAATATATGTGTATATATTTATTATTTATTCTTTCTCTTTCCTAAAGAATTTGAGAAAGTGTAAAAGAATGTACATATGGAAAAGTAAAAATAGCTAACATTTAGGGTAAAAAATATAGATAGAACAAATAGATATTTTACAGATAGAAAGTAAATAGAAGTTAAACATTGGGGAAGTTTGAACATAGTTGTCAAATCATAAAAGGACACGTACAGAACACAGGAAACATGGTGTCTGTCCTATAGTTGACACTCAGGAAATTATAATTGAATAAATGAATAAAAGAGGCATAGAACTGTAATTAAAGAAGCTTAAAGAGAAAGACAATTTATTGTAAAAAATACTATGGAAAATTAAAATTAGTTTGTATAAGTTTATAAGTGTATAAGTTTGGCCAAAAAGAGTAGCTAGAAAGATAAGAACTCTGTAGGGATAATATACGGATAGTAGAGCCACTGAACTGCTGAATTGGATTTGTCTTTCCTATCAGGAAAAGTATTTTTATTCCAGAAAGAGTGGAACACACATGGTTTATAGGAATGAATCCTAAGATATTTATGGTGGTAATGTAAGAATATCCTAGTGCTTTACAACACTTTTTAAAAATGAAGTGAAATTAAATTTGCATGTCATTTTTGCACAGGGTGCTAATCTTCTCTGTGATGTTCCAGTTTTAGTATGTGTGCTGCCAAAGTTATCACTCTAGTGCCTTAAATTAGTTAAAAGCTTCAGATGTAGCTGAAATAGATCACATTGTAATGAAAGAACAGCTGTAAATCATTACGGTAATCTCCAAGAGATACTGAAGATTTGTAGGCATAAAAGAAAAATAAAAGTAAATGAAGGTTTTTCTTATTTAAACAAAAATTAAAGTTTTACAAAGTGAGAAGTTCATGAATTATTACAAAATTTTATTTTACATATATTCTAATGTAAAAAACGTATAACATTAAATTTACTATCTTCACCATGTTTAGCTGCTGATTTAAGTGTATTTTTAGTGCCTCATGAACATTAGTAGTTTTTAGAATATTTTTGTTGTATTTTATTTAAAATGTACTAGAAGTTCATTATTCTAAGTAACCTGACATTTAGATTTAAAAGAGTTGAAAATTATTACTTGCAAGAAATTTTTAAAAGTCTCTCATTATAATCTTTATTCTCCACTGCATATGCTGAGACAGTATAGCATAGTGATTATGAGCATGATCTCTGGTGTCAGAGTACTCAAGACTACTTGGGTATATTTTCTTCTGTCACTGACTTTGTGTAAGTTGTTTAAATTCTTAGTAAGATGGAGATCATAATAGTACACACCTTAAAGCATTATTATGAATACTAAATGAATAAATACTTGTAAAATACTTTAAATAGGTCCTGGCACATAGTAAGAACTTAATAACTTTTGTTACTGTTACTGATGATTAAAAACTACCTATAGGTATAACCCAAACTGTTTTTTTTTTTTTTCAACGTTTATTTATTTTTGGGACAGAGAGAGACAGAGCATGAACGGGGGAGGGGCAGAGAGAGAGAGGGAGACACAGAATCGGAAACAGGCACCAGGCTCTGAGCCATCAGCCCAGAGCCCGACGCGGGGCTCGAACTCACGGACCGCGAGATCGTGACCTGGCTGAAGTCGGACGCTTAACCGACTGCGCCACCCAGGCGCCCCAGTTATGTATTGTTTTATAGTGTTTTAGTGGTTGCCACCAAAATTACAATATGCATCTTTTACTTTTTGTACTTTAATAAAAAGGATTATTTTTACCACTTTTCCAATAATGCTATCTTAGAACATTTTAGCTCCATTTTCCTACCTCCTATTTTTGTTTAATTATTGTCATACATTTTAAGTTTACATATATTTTAAATTCTTTGAATATTATTGTTCTGTACAGTTAATATTTATTCATATTTACCCAAATATTTACCCTCTTGTGTTGTGTTGTGTTTTGTTTCTTTCTACATTTCTGTTTTTCTATATCACATTATTTTTCTTCTTCCTGAAAAACTCTCTATTGCTTCTTTTGGTCAAGGTCTGTTGATGAATTATTGTATACTTTTGTCTGAACATGTCTTTATTTTGCCATTTTTAATTTTGGGGGGTTGGATTTTTAGGTTGGTAGTTATTTTCTCCCAGCACTTTAAATATGTTATTCCATTGTTTTAGGTCTTTTGTAATTTCTGTTGAAAAGTACATTGTCAAACTTATTGTTCCCCCTTGAAAGCAATTGGTCCCCCTCCCCCCTTTTTTTTTTGGCCTATGTCTTTGATGTGTCAAAAGTGTGATTTTCTTTATATTTATTTGCCTGAAGTTTGCAGAGCCTCTGGGTTGATGTGTTAATCACTTTTAAATAATTTTTGATTGTTATATCTTTATATATTTCTTCTGTCACATTCTTTCCTACCTATATTTTTGGGGCTCTAATTAATATATATGTTACACCTATTCATTATGCCTCAAACATCTCTTATAATCCCTATGTATTATTCTCCATTTTTTCTCTTAGTGCTTCAGTTTAGATATGTTCTGCAGACATATCTTTCAATTCATTAATCTTTCTTTAAAAAAACTGTGTTTCAAATGTTATTAAATTGACCTAAATTCTTAATTTCAGATATTCTATTTTTCAGTTCTAGAGTGAATTATATTTAAATCATTCTAAAGATTTCACTTTTAGAAGAAATTCTTCATGTTTTAACTATTATTTTCCATTTTTTTTCTGTTTTCTTGAACACATTAATTATAGCTATTTTAAAGTTGTGTGTACTAACTCCAACATCTGGATCATCTATTGTCTGTTGTTATTTTCTGTTATTTTTTTTATCTTGAGTTTTGATCATAAATGTCGGTCTTTTGGCATGCTCACGAAGTGTTAATAAAATGCCAGATATTGTATACAATATAGAGACTTTAAATGGTGTTACCTTCTATTTGAGAGAGTTTATACTTTCCTTTGCAAGTTGGGTAGAAGTCAGAAGAGATCACCTTAAAGCAATAATGAATTCTAGTGATTATAGTTTTTTTAGGGCTTAGTTTATTTACCTCTGGTTTGTTCATTTCCTTAAGTGTAGTCTCTCTGGGGATTTCAGCTGTGAGCCTGATGTGTTCAAGACCCCTTGCTTTGTCAGATTCTGAATTGCAATCTTTAATGCATATGTTTTTTAGTATTTTGGTTCAGATTTTTAGCATCACCCCTATCCCTTATCCCCTGGCAAACGTCTTCATGGGGAAAGAGATCGTGTGTTTGAAGCTTCTTAAATCTGCGATTTTGCCATTCTGGCTTCACAAGACCAAAATAAGCTTGTTTCTCAATGTTTTAACAGCATCTCTCTGCCAGATCTAAACTAAAATTCTCTGTTGCCTGTTGTGAGCAAATGCTACCAGGGAGAAAGCACCTACAAGGCAATAGCTCACTTTTCAGAGGTTCTACCCTGTTTAGACTCTTAGCCCCTCTTGTCTATGCTGACAACTCAAAGTTAGAAGTATCCATGACTCTATTAGGCCTTTAAAAATAGGATTTTCTTATATTTTATCTGGATTTAAATTATTTTTGTGAAAATATGGCCTTCTGCAAACTTATCATTCCCTCTAAAGCCAAAGTCATCCAATGACTGATTCATTTTCTGAACTTCTACCCATAAACAGTAAAAATTGCAAAATACTTTTGACCTTCTTTATGCTATAATTTCTAGCACTATATACATGATAATAATAAAATTATTATAAAAGTAAATTATTTTTTAACTTTAATAAATATAAAACCACACAAAATAATAATGCTGGGTCTGATGTCCTAGATTTGAAGGATTTCACAATTTTTGACTGATTTTTCTGTTTGAAAATGATAAAAATCTATTTTCTTTTGAATGACTAGGTAGGAATAATATTAGGAAAGGAATGGAGAAGCACCAGCTTCAGCATTTAGGGTAAAGAGGCACATAGTTTAAAAGATACATCTTTTAAGGGGTAGATTTTATAGTAGATTAATGTTCCTCATAAAGTGTACAAAGAGATATCTATTCTAGTAGGTATCAAATTCTGAAGTATTAAACGAGTATATCAGATTCTGAAATAAAAACAGTAAAGTATATAAAAATGGGAAAATGAGAATATTCTCATCCCTTTGTATATACAAAGAATGTTACTATTGGTTAACAGTTTAAAATATTAAATGGATACAAATGGCTAAATTATATGATGAATCAGAAAGAGTATAATATCAAAAAGATTAATTAATTGCTAATTAAAATTTTAGGTTACCAGCTTTATGTAACCTATTAATTTACATACTCAATGCATATTAGGAATTGTAGTATTTAAGAGAGTGTAGATGATTTTGCTCAGAAAATTTGTTCATCCAGGATTTTCACATAATCAGTGTAAATAGTTATTGTTCATATATTTTTATTTCATGTATTAATAAGTACTAACAAATAATACTATATAATTGGCCAAATATCTTTATATATGTGTGTATGTGTATGTGATGTATGTGTATATATACATGTATATTACATATATATATATATATATATATATATATATATATATATATATATATATAATGAAACAACAAGAATTGATGTTTGAATTTGACATTATGGTATAGATAATAACTCACTTGTAATGTGTTTAAATAATGTATGTAGATCTATCTTGTTTTTCTAGAGGTCCATATAATCAACTCTTTTTTTTCCATTTAATATCTCATTGACTTAAAGTCTTTTGCTTCTATATCGCATTTAAAATTTTTAATTTTTAATGAATATATATCTGTCTCTATTTAATGACAGAGCAACATTGATGGGCTTCCTTGAAAATTTATTACTTATAGGGCCACTTGAATTGATAAATAGCATTGATACACTCTTTTTTATTTCTTTTTTCAACATGCTTTTTGGAATTCACAGGTTGGTGGAGTTTCTGATGAATTACCTAACTTGACTAACCGATATGCTGCTATTTTGTCAAGACCAGAAAAACCTACTAAACTGTCAGATATGGTAAGAAGACCCCTTTATAATAAAAGTTATTTGTAATCTGGGAATCATGGAGGGACTGTATAACATGAACAGCATATTAGGATATGAGAGAGGTACATGGTAGGCTGTTGGTAACATCTTTGACTAGTATGATACTTCCTTTTTTTTTTTTTTTTTTTTTTTTTTTTTTTTTTTTTTAAGAGAGCATGAATGGGGGAGAGAGGCAGAGGGAGAGAGAGAGACTCATAAACAGGGTTCATGCCCAGTGCTGTGGGGCACTGTCCTACTACCCTGGAATTGTGACCTGAGCTGAAATCAAGAGTCAGATGCTCAACTGACTGAGCCAACAAGGTACCCCGATACTTCCATTTGTTAAAGTTCACCAAAAGTCTTGAAGCTAAGCAGAGTCCAGCATTGCTCTGTGAGAGGTGATTATATGGAACATCTCCTGTAGGGTCAGAGAACATTTGTTTTAAGAATGTGTAGGAAAACATAATCATGTTGTATATGAAGTGGAAGGCCTACTTAAGGTTCAAAACAGTTTACTTATAAGTGTAAATTTTTTCTTTTAAATTTGAGTCAATCTTGAAACCTAAGACTCTATAGTGATTTTTTAAATCCATGTTAATCTGTATTTTAAATTGTGTTTTATGATTTTTTCTAACTAAATTTCCATTTTTTATAAAAAGCTAGTATTGAATAAATTGAAATACATAAAGCAGATGACATTTAAACATGAATACTTGACTGTTTCATCCAGATTGATTTTACTAAAAGTACATTTTGAAATTTGCAGTTAAAAAGTTAGACTTCTATGTATAGATATTGCTAAAATAAATCTATATAGAAATTAGACTGTCATTATAAGATATTCTTAATAACAAATTATCGAAACAAGCTCATCAACCAGGTTTTAAAACTTGAGAAATAGTATTGCTTGCTGAAATAAAATTATAGTAGGTTCACAGTGCCAAGAGTTGATTAACTCGTTAAATTAATACAGTTGTAAAGTCTAAAAAATCATACAAATTAGACTAATTTGGTGAGAGCCATCAGGAATAGACTTATTTTTTTCTGAGACATTGGTTGACTGAATGTAGGAGATCGGGTCAAAATTGACATCAGGTTCTATGACGTTTTTGTACCTATAAGTTCAAAAGACAGTTTAAAATCATCTGTCAGTTTTCTTGACATGTAAGAGATTCTCATAATTGTTAAATAAATGTGTTGTTTTAATAGATCATTTCTTTATCTTGAGCAATTTTATGATTGTGTTGTTTCTCAAGTGAGTCATTGTACACATTGTAGGATCCACTGTGAGGTATGTCAGAAGTAATTTATTACTAGTTTAAAGCTTTCAAGCATAGGAATATTTAGTGGATTCATAGTTATTTCTATCATAATATTATAGTTACTAGGAAAAAAATTCAAATCTCTGAAGGTACCCCTAGGAATGCATATGTATGTGCTATATTTGCTTGTAGTAAAAAAAGATGGTGATGTGCCCTAAAGAAAGATTAGTTACTTACCAATTGCTGTTATCTAATTTACATTTTTCTCTTTTACCTTGGTCTCTCACTGGATCTTGAAACTTCTGTTTTTGTATTTTTATTTTTTGACATGACATACTTGCAATGGAAAGTATTGGGTGGGACTTTGCTTACCCAAGTAGCAGAATAGTTTAATCACATAGAATATTTTAGCTTTTGAAACTCTTCTGCAAATGAGATACTCTTCAAACCTGTGGGTGTATAATATATATGTAATGAGAATCCAAATTATTAATTTCATATCAAAATTGATCTCAAATTTATGAAATAATGGGATTAGTTTTATAATTTTCCTTTCAAATAAAAATATTATAGTGCTCACTTCGGCAGTATAACAATTAAAATTGGAATGACACAGAGAAGATTAGCATGGCTCCCTGCACAAGACTGACATGCAAATATGTGAAGTGTTCCATATTTTATTTATTATTTATTTATTTAAGTTTATTTTTATTTATTTTTGAGAGAGAGAGAGAACACAAGTGGGAGAGGGGCAGATTGGGGGTGGGGTGGGGCAGAAGACATAGAATCTGAAGCGGGCTCCAGGCTCTGAGCTGTCAGCACAGAGCCCAATATGGGTCTCAAACCCACGGACTATGAGATCATGACCTGAGCCAAAGTTGAACGCTTAACTGACTTAGTTACCCAGGCATCCCTGAAGCATTCCATATTTAAAAAAAAATTAGACAATTTACCTCCTACATATTTAAAATTTATATATAAGGATATACTGCAATCTTAAAGGACACATTGTTTGATTTTCAAAATTTTATATAAGTTTCACATAAAAATATTTAAAAACTCAGGCTTCTGCTTTCATATGAAAGGCATGAACATATATCTCTTTTCTTTTTACATGGTCGCAGTAAAATAAGTTATTTTGAACTACAACATAATATTAGTTTAATATAAAAAGACAGAGTGAATATATGATAAATGGAAGCTAGAAACAAACCAAACATCTGTTTATTAGGCATTCCAAAAGTGGAATGCTAAGATAGTAGTTAGGACCATTTGATGGTAAAAAAAAAACACAAAAAAAAACAAAACAAAACAAACAAAAAAAAAACAACAACAGAAGGTTTTCCTAAGCTGAATAAAGACACAAGTCTTCAATAAGAAGTCAACAAAAATACCAGGAAGGATGAATTTTAAAAGTCAAAAATCATTTTCACATGGTTTTGCATTTTCAGAAGACTAGAAATAAAATACCTTGGAATCTTCCACAGAGAAAAGTAAGTGGGTCACCTACAGAGGGATGAGAAACATACTGATATCAAACACTATCCCAGTAGTATTAGCAATATTTCAGAGCTAGAAAATGATGGATTTCTGAGAGGAAATAATTTTGGATGTAGAATTCTGACTTTATCCAATATAAATCCAATTAAATGAATCAAGAAAATAATGTTCTGACATACAAGAGCCTGGAATGTGTAGTACCTCTACATTTCCATGTATAAAGATGTTCCAGCAAAATATAAGGAGAGAAATGAGAGAAGAGTGATATAAACCTAGAGAAGAATAGAAACTAAGCAATTCCTGGATGAAATAAAGTGAAAACAAATTAATAAAGAAGGCATTTTTAGCTCATTCATGGGTCATCTTCAAGAGTCAGGGATTTGGTGACAGAATTTTATTTGCTTCTTTTTGTGTTTGGCCATACTAGTTGGTTTGATAAGCAATAAATATGATATTCTAATTTCTGTTTTAATACTGGTGGTTTTAGATCAATCAATACAAATTGCAGAGATCTTAGTTATAATATAAAATGTAAATATTAGAAAACTTAATATCAATTAAATTTTAATATCAATAAAAATAAAAGACTAAATATTAGAAAACAATATCAATAATAATAAAAGAAAGAGGTAAAAGTTTGGGAGGCAGTAAAATATGCTAAATTTCTTATAGTGTGCAGAGTCAACAGATTTGAAAAGTTGACAAATTTCAGTATAAGTCCTAATATTAAGTTTGTAGTGGTAAATAATAATAAAAAATCCCAACCTCTAAGAAACCCAATTACTATTAAATTATTTCTGGGAATAGAACAGGGAGAGGTCAAGGAGGACAATTTTACTGCTTATTTTAGACTCATCCATGATTTGATTTTTATTATGCTGTGAATGTATTATTTTAAAATAATAATAAAATAAAAATAAAAATAGTACTCATGAGTTAATGGTGAGTATGTGTTTGGAATAGCATTATGATGTACTGGTTCCTGGACTGACCTATTCTCTGCAAACAAGCAAAATTCTAGATAAAATAGAAACAGAATGTTTTCATGAGTGCTTCCAAGAATTAGAAAGAAATGAGTACACAGGCTAAAGGCTAAATTTAGGAGGGACCCAGAGTGGCAGTGAAGTTCACTTTTACCCTGAGGACATTTGCCAAACAACTAGATGACTTTGAATTTTAATTGTTACAGCCTTAGAGGCCTCTAGGGAATGAAACAAAGCCTAAGACTCTCTCATAGTGGGTCCTCTCAAAGAAGAGTCATTAATACAGTTACAGCTCCAAAGGGCAAAAAACTATGCAGGTTAGGAGTGAAATGCAGAGTGAAATCACCAGAGGATTTGTGAGAAGTTACCAGTGTTGGACTTTTTGGTTTTGAGTGTATGTTAGGGGAATCACCACTGAGAATCTGTTACATTTTATATTCATTTAATGACATGAATTGTTAAAAACAACAACAACAACAACAACAACAACAACAACAACAACAACAGAAATCTGTCACAGATGTTAACTAAATTAATTTTATTAATAAAAATAAGTGCTAATGCTTCTTCTGTACTAGGCACCATTCCAAATGTATAGTAACTCATTTGAGCACTATAATTATGGTCATTTTGAAAAATGAGGAAACTGAGGCACAAGTTTAAAGTTTAAATGACAGAGTCAGAATTCAAACGGAGGCAGTTTAGTAATAGAGTTCAGTCTTTTTGTGCTACTCTTCTCTGGCTTAAAGAATTAGGCTTACATGAAATAAATATGACACTATAATAAATTACTTTTATGATTTAAAACAAAAGAGATGAGACTGTGTAAAGATCTCAGACATTATTATAAGGAATAGAAATTCTTTTTAAAAAAATGTAATTTCTGCCTTCCAGAAACTGATAGAGAATTCAGTATTATGAACAATATTGAAGTTAATAACTTTCCTCTAGTTATTGAGAGACTAAAAATTAACTATGACTATCATTTAGTGGGAAAGTCATTGGAAGAATTTGATATGCTTTCTTAGATCTCTTCATGCCTCATAAAGGGGCATCCTTTGCCTAATGACAACTGGTATCAAAGAGTCACAAAAAATTAGAGCAACTTTTTCTAAAAATTAAGAAATGACCTGAATTTATTAGAATTATTTGGTGAGCAGTTTGCACTATAGCTTTAATTACTTGATAAACAGACCTAGAATACAGAGAGTTGAGAATGAAGAGAATATTAAAAATAAATTGTGAT